CCAGGCTGGATTTTAGGGAATATTTATCAACACCCAGGTTGTATTTTGAAGGAATATTTAGCGACGTATCCATGCTGAGCTTGGGGACATCCAGACTGGATTTTAGGGAATATTTCTTCCAACGGAAGCGATGGAGGAGAGGCACTGAGCATTCCAGGGGAATTCCCACCTGCTGGAGCTGCCCCTGGAGCTGGGCCAGGAGCTGCAGGCAGCTCTGGATGTGATCCTGGAAGGGTTTGTGGAGCACCCAGTGCAGGGCTGGTGCCAGGGAGCTCTCCGAGGTGAAATCCCGCAGGAATTCTTTCAGCACGGCCTTGTGGAGCTTCCAGGCCTCACTGGAAAATCGGGAATTATGAGAAAAGGTCGTTAATTATCCCAGAATTCCCGCTCCTCTCTTTTCCAAACTTTCTGTGTGATGAGGATGGAGAAAGCCGTAAAAAAAAATTTAAAAAAATCAAGTGATGTGCTGCTTGTAAATTCATCTTTTGGGTTGTTGCTTCCATAAAAATCTGGGATTAGTGGGAATTTCCAGGTTCCCACCCCTTCCCTAAATCCCTAAATCCCAAAATCCCGAATTTCCAACTGCAGAAGGAGCTGAGGGTGGTTGGATGCAGGGAATCCATCCCAGGAATTGTCCAAGGTTGGTCAAGGCTTGGAGCAACCTGGGACAGCTGGAACCATGGAAAACCAGGGAATAACCAGGGAATAACCAGGGAATGTGCTCCTTAAAAATCCACATTTTCATTCCCTGCTTCCATAAAAATCCGGGATAAGTTGCAATTCCCAGCCAGATTCCTCCCTTCAATTCCATCTTTTCCTTAAATCCCAAATTTCCAATTCCAGAAGGAGCTTGGAAAGAGGAAAATCCAATCCTGGAATTGTCCAAGGTTGGCCAAGGCTTGGAGCAAACTGGGAGCTGTCCCAGTGTGGAATGGGAGGATTTTTGGAGGATTTTTTTCCAAACCATTCCGGAATTCTGGGACTCTCCAGTGCTCAGTGCTGCTTGATGCCCCCATATCCCAAAAATTCCCAAAAATTCCCAAGGATTTTCCACTTGCTGACCTCTTGCTCTTGGTGGCCTGCTCGAAGCCCTGGACCACGACAAAGTTGGCGAAGGTGACGAAATACCTGGAAAAAAATTCCAAGGATACACGGGAGGAGTTGGAGAGGGAAATTTGGGATGAGTTTCTAAATCCCAAAAATTGTCTGAAAGTTCCTTTAATCCCACAAAAGCACCTCTGGAAAAATGCAGGCCCGGATATTTGATGGATTGGGATCAAAGGTTGGATAGGAACTTGGAATTCTTTCCCAATCTTAATTCCAGGATTTTTTTTTGGCAGAATTGGATAAGGCAAAAGGGCTGATAAGAGCAGGATCCATTTCCATCAGATTTTATGGGATGAAATTCCTGCCTGCAGGCTCTGAGCTGTTCATTCAGACTCCTCAGCACAGAATTCCCAACAGAATTTGGAAAATTTGGGAATTCTGGGATGTAAACAATGGAGCTGTCACACTCTGGCTCTGAGCTTGCTTTATTTTTCTAAGTAAAACTTGGAATTTTCCTTTTCCATTTCATATTTGCCAAGATTTTCTTCCAAGAGTTGCATTTTCCAGGACCAAAAATTCCCAGCAAAATTTCCCAGTAAATCCCACATTAAACCCAGGTTTAATCCCAAAAGAAATGGGAATAAAATCTCAGGATCAATTCCTTTGGAACAATCCTATTTGGAAAATCCCAGCTGGAAAAATCACAGTTAAAAAAATCCCAAACTGCAAAAATCCCAAACTGCAAAAATCCCAAACTGCAAAAATCCCAAACTGCAAAAATCCCAAACTGCAAAAATCCCAAACCTGGAAAAATCCAAACCTGGAAAAGCTTTGGCCACTTTTGTGGAGAAGAAAAAAACCAGGAATTGAAGATTTTTATGGAATTTCAGCTCTCCATAAACCTTTATTCCCGCTGGCATCTCAGATCCCAATCCAAAACCAAAAAATTATGGAAAAACCACATCCAATGCATTTTTCCAAGGATATTTTCCCTCTGTGACCTCTCATCCTCCTTTTTCCAGATATTCCCATTTCCCTGTCGGGAATTATCCCGATGGGATCGATCAAATCCCCAAAAATTCCAGCACTCACTGGATGTAGAGGCTCAGGAAAAGATCTCCTTTCCAGAGGATGTAAAAATCCTGGATCCCACCGGAGTCGGAGCCGCATTTTCCCCTCAGGATCCGGGAATTTTCCTCTGTGAAATTCCAGAGGGCTTGGAAGCGATCGTTGAGGAGCACCAGGAGCTGGAAATTCTCCTTTTCCTTGGGATCGTGGGGCTCTGAGAGAGGAAAAAAATCAGGAAAAATTCCATGGGAAAGTCAGGATTGCCAAAGAATTTTGTGGAATTTGTTGTCTGTTTCTGATTAATCCAAAAATGGGAAAAAGGGAAATTTTAGGAATTTTCAGAGTCCGTGGAGCCGTTTTGGCTGGAATAAAGAAATTAAATAATTTGGGGAAATAGAGAAATAAATGGATCAGAAAATGGGGAAATTCCAGGAATTTTCTGAGTCCATGGAGCTGTGATTGAATAAAGAAATTTAAAATTTTTGGAAAACAGGGAGGGAAAAAAATGGGAAAATGGATCAGAAAATGGGGAAATTCCAGGAATTTTCTGAGTCCATGGAGCCGTTTTGGCTGGAATAAAGAAATTAAACTATTTGGGGAAATAGAGAAATAAAAGGATCAGAAAATGGGGAAATTCCAAGAATTTTCAGAGTCCATGGAGCTGCTTTGGAATAAAAAAAATTAAAATTTTGGGAAAGCAGGGAGGGAAAAAAATGGGAAAATGGATCAGAAAAGGGGAAATTCCAGGAATTTTCTGAGTCCATAGAGCTGTGATGGCATAAAGAAATTAAAATATTTGGGAAAGCAGGGAAGAAAAAAAATGGGAAAAATGGATCAGAAAAAGGGGAAATTTCAGGAATTTTGGAGTCCATGGAGCCATTTTGGCTGGAATGGGATAAATTAAATACTTTGGGAAAACACAGAGGAAAAATAAGGGGGAAAATGGATCAGAAAAAGATGAAATTCCAGGAATTTTGGAGTTCATGGAGCTGGTTTGGCTGGAATGGGATAAACTCCATCCCAAATTCTTTGGATGCTCATCCCAGTGCTCCAGGGGGAAAATTCCCACCCTTTTCCCAAGAAAACAACCCTGGGCTTGTTCCCTGGTTTTTATTTTAGGGAAAACATTCCTACAAATCATTTCCTCCAAGGAAACTCTTCCCAGTGGGAATTCCAGCTGGAAATCCCTTCTTGGATTGACTCCAAGTGGGAATTCCAGAGAAAAATTCCTGGGATTTACCTGCCCGGAGCAGAGGTTTGAGGATGAGGGCATCGATCCGGGCCAGGCAGGAGGAGAAATTTTCTTCCACTTGAAGCAACGATCCCAAAATTCCAGCTGTGGACATGGCCTGGAAAACAGCAGGAATGAATTAAATTCCTGGAAAAAAACAGGAATGAATCAAATCCCTGGGAAAAAAATAGGAATTAATCAAATCCCTGGGAAACAGCAGGAATTAATTAAATCCCTGGGAAAAACCAGGAATGAATCAGATCCCTGGAAAACAACAGGAATTAATCAAATCCCTGGAAAACAGTGGGAATTAATTGAATCCCTGGAAAACAGCAGGAATGAATCAAATTCCTGGAAAACACCAGGAATGAATCAGATCCCTGGGAAAAAAAACCCAGGAATTAATTAAATCCCTGAAAAAACCAGGAATGAATCAAATCCCTGGAAAATGGAGCCACCATTGGATTCCATCTCCAAGGTTTTTCCTTGGATTTCTCTCACGAGGTTTTGCTGCCCTTGGCAGCATTCCCAGGTGGGGCCAATCCCAAAAATCCTTGGGAAAAGTTGGGAAAGGAATGGAAAGCAAACAGTTCAAGTGGAGACAACTGAGCCAAATTTTCCCAAATTCCCAATGCAAAATGTCTGGAAAAGCCTGGAATTCTTTGTGGTAATCCTGACTCACTCCAGAGGGTTTTTTTTTTCCCCAGGAGAAAATCCCAGAATTCCAAAGGATGAAGCAGAAATCTCTTCCCATTCCTCTCATTCCCAGCTCTCTTTTCCCAAATTCCAAACGATCTCAGGGTTGAAAACATCTGGAAAATTCTGGAATTCCTCTTGGTAATCCAAATTAATTCCAGAGGGAATTAAATCCATGAAACCCAAAGGATAATGGAGAAATCTCTTCCCACTCCTCTCATTCCCAGCTCTCTTTTCCCAAATTCCAAACGATCTCAGGGTTGAAAACATCTGGAAAAGCCTGAAATTCCTCCTGGTAATCCAAATTAATTCCAGAGGGAATTAAATCCCAAAAATCCAAAGGATCAAGGAGAAATCGCTTCCTACTCCTCTCATTCCCAAATTCCAAATGATCTCAGGGCCAAAAACATCTGGAAAATTCGGGAATTCCTCCTGGTAGTCCTAATTTATTCCAGAAGGGTTTTCCCAGGAGAAAATCCTGGAAGTCCAAAGGATAAAAGAGAAATCTCTTCCCACCCCTCTCATTTTCATTCCCAAATTCCCGATGATCTCGGCACCGTAAAACATCTGGAAAAATCTGGAATTCCTGCAGCTCATTCCAGAGGGAATTAAATCCCAGAAATCCAAAGGATAAAGGAAAAATCTCTTCCCATCCCTCTCACCGGAATTTGGGCCCAGCTGCACTTTCCAGGATTCCAATCCCAAAAAAATTCCCCTTTTTCCCCAGGAGCAGCATTTTTGGGATCGTTCCTTTCCCAGCACTTCCGGGTGTGCGGAAAGTTCCGGAACTTCCTCATTCCAGCGGCTCTCCGGAAAAAACAGCGAGCAGGAAATGAGCTCAGGGCACAGAAAAAAATGCCAGGAATGGAAAATTTCCCCGGGAAAAACCGGGAAAACTCCCAAAATTCCAACATTCCCGCAGCGCTGGGAAGGAAAATCGGGAATTCGCGGAATGGGGGGGGAGGGAATCATGGAACACTTGGAGAAATGGAACCAGAGGGAGAAAAATCGGGAATATGAGGAAAAGTTTGAGCCAATTTGACCTTGGATATTTGCAGGGATGTGGCAGCCATGGAATTCTTTGGGAATTCCATCCCAGCCAAGAATTCCTTCTCAATATCCCAATATCCCACTCTGGCAGTGGGATGCATTCCCTGTTTTCCTGACATTCCATCCCTTATCCCAAATCCTTCTCCAGCTCTCCCAGAGCTCCTTTAGGAACTCAGAAAAATCCTGGAATTTTCCCTGGAATCGTTTTCAGTCTCAATAAAAAAATCAAGAACTCCCAATTTTTTTTCCCACCATTTTTTTTCCCCCCATTGTCTTTCCCAAAAATCTGGGAGCACCAGGAAGCTCCTCCTGTCCCATCCAACCCTTTGGATGATCCTGGAGAAAAAAAATCCAAAGGCAGGACAAAAAAAACCCAGGAATGTGCAGCGTTTCCAACTCCTGCTCAGCTTTTCCAAGGAGCAGAATTCCCACAGGAAATTCCCACAACTTCTAGAGGGTATTTCCCCAATTCCTGAAGGAAATTCC